ATAATAATAATAATAATAATAATAATAATAATAATAATAATAATAATAATAATAATAATAATAATAATAATAATTAACTTGAATAGTCTTTTCTTCCATTCTTAAAAACCCACATAATCTATTATTTATAAAATTTTTGGTTAAAAGGCAAAAAAAGAAGATAAAATATAAAAGAATAATTTTACCCAACTATTCCAGCTAAAGGATATTCTGATGTTATCCCTGTAGCCAGAGCTATCGTAGTTCCTTGAGAAAATCCTCCAACAACAATTCGATTAGAAGCAATTCCAGAATCAATTTCATCTTTTATCAATTTTTTTACTGAAAAATAAGTAAACAATAAATATTTTTTCCAATATTAATAGCATTATATATAACATTAACATCAATATTAATATTATACTTTGAGAAATAGATTCCATCACACCATCTTCATCCACACCATTTATTTGATCTACATTTAAAGTTGTAACATCAAACCTGTGATATAATTTATAATTATTAATTGTTTGTCATATTCAATTTTATCTGGATAAGAGAAGCATCATAATTATTACCATCCAGGCATCTTCATACCTGCATTAATAGTTATTGGACGTATTGGTCTATATCAACAAGGAAAATAAATTAAGTCTTTGCAATTATTATTATTATCTTTATGTATTAATATCATTATTATAATAATAAGCTTACGCATTTGGTAGCACAAATTTTACATGTTCCATTTTTTCACCTATTTCTATAGCAATTGGTTCCCATCCATGTCCGCTATCACCTAAACCCTATACCATATATACATATATACATATATATATTATTAATTCTTGAATATTAATTTATTATTTACATACTTAATATATTGAGGATAAACATTTTTTACATGTAAAAATATAACAGTAGCAGAATGCAAAGAAGAGTTTGCACTTTTAATTACAGAAGTTAATTGAGACATTATTGATGTGTGTCGAATTATGTTTCACAGAACCTTTTTTTTTTTTTGAATGTCCATCTTAAACTTTATTGGGTGAATTCTAATTTATTGTTTGCTAAGATCTCTCTCATCTATTTATTGTTTACTAAGATTTCCTTTGAAAATTAATATGACATGTATTTGTTTTTTTCGCGACGGCAAAATTTCATATTTTCTTTGTAAATAATTATTACTAATGTCCCAACACAGCACGGAAGAGAAAATAAATTACAAGTTAAAGACCAGCAAGAAAACAAAGAAGAGAAGAAAGAAATCCATTCAATTTTTACATGAACAATTGCAATTTAACATCTTCCAAAATCAAGTTTAATAAAAGATTGTTTTTTTCGGCATGATTACATCATGCAATTCCTTTTTATAGATAAAATTACCAGAGATGAAATCATTTTTATCGCCGCGGAAAATCATACTCCAACCTCTGATCATCGGTGTCAATTTCCCTTTGACAAACATACAAGCATTATTATTAGTCATTCATTGATTCTTATTTTAATTATTAGAATCTAATACAATTAAAAAGTATTGTTAGTAATAACCAATGGATAATAATTTCAAATTAATTAATAATGAAATTTTTATTCACCTTCGGTGTTTAAGAGAAGTGGGTTAAAATCAAGACTATTTGATGAACTATCATTACTTGTATAGATTTTTATGCTTTTTGATTTAGCAATCTCTTCATCTAATATTCTACTTAACTGGATGTGATTTGTGTACTTTTTGCGAATCACTACTACCATCACTACTAGTAGTATTATTACTATTATCATTTTATTCGTTTTATTCGTTTTATTCGTCCAACTATTAATTCATTTAATTCGTTTTATTAGTTTTATTAGTTTTATTAGTTTTATTAGTTTTATTGGTTTTATTGGTTTTATTGGTTTTATTAGTTTTACTCAAATTGTTTGTTTTATTCGAGTAAACTTTATTTGAATAGAAACCTAACTGCTGCTCAAGATTATGATATTATTTTAGTACAAAGAGCTTTAGAAATATTTAACCAATAACTTAATTACAATATAAAAGAGCTATTGGTTATTAAATTAAGCTAATAATTAACTAAAAAAAGGATTGATTTTAAAAGAATGCCTGATAAATATTGGTGCTTTCAATAGGCTTTTAGATTATATGATAAAACACTAGGAATATTATTGACTTATCAGTATGCCAATACCTTGATTATTTTTTTAAAGAATTATTAGATTCTGATATTTACTGATACCCCATTACCAATTTGGCATCATTTCAACCAATAAAAAGTGAATCAATAGATTATATATAAGCAAAGAAAGGTGAGACCCTAAATTAGCACAAAAAGAATTTTAAATCATGTACAAACATAACAGCTTTTTATTGTATATAATTAATTATACATTTTTAATAAAACAAACATGACTTAGCTGTTTAATCATTTCCTTGCATGTGAATGCTTCCATCCATCAAATATTCATGATTATCATCCAATACATTTGATGTTATAATTGGCATAACAAACAATTGCATCACCCAAGTAATACCAAGGCCATGCATAAAAATAATGTGTTTCTACCCAGATCTTTAGGTTCACAAAATAAATTATTTTACCTAATGATCAATTGTAGTTCTTTATAAATAATAAATCTGATGTTATTTGCAAGTGTCAGATTTAATTAAATTTTCCTGTCACAAACATGTGGGTCGGGTGCTATTTGCACACCCCATAACCATGGGATTTTCCCTTCACAGGTGAGGGTGCCCAATGTTGGTAGGCTTTGAGCAAAACTTTCCTTATCTTCCTCTCAGACCAGGCTTGGCTGTTACCATGGGCATTGGTCACCTGATAGCTAGTGTTTGCATGATGCTTGCTTTGTGTTATAGTTCTCTCACTAAAATAAAGTTTGTGTCTGCTGTCTATTTTAATCTACATAACAAGTAACTAATTGGGCAAAACCCCATTCAGCCCCTACCTAAAATTATAAATTGGTTAGTATTAAACAGCCTTTCTCTTAACATCAGAGCCTAATTCCAATTTCAGGACCATCAATCCTGTTCTGAATTGTGACCTCCTGTGCTTGAAATAATTTGCAGATTCTTGTTGCTTTGATGGATCTGGATGTATATGCATTCCTAATGTCACAACTCTTCAAAATACAACTTGGTCACATAGCCATCCTTACCTTAGAGTTAGAAACGTTGCAGGCAACTTTCAGCCAGCATGATAACAGCCTCCTCTGGTCTGGGTACAGCGAGAAAGATTAGTGAAAGTGTCAGACAATTGATGCAGTTTTAGTATATTGATTCAGTTTCTACCGTTTCAATACATCCCAGGGCTACTCCCCCCCCTAAAATTTAACAACATCATTGTATCATTGGAGCCACGACATAGTTAGATTAGCCTTTGTACACAAGGAATTTGTAAGAATGACTGTAAAGTGTTCATGGTTGCATGCATGCTTCAATATCTGCTAATCTAGTAATTTCCTGATAATCAAACATTGCATATTGAAATGTTTCATATTTGAATTGTTTCATATTCAACGGTGTGCTGCCTTGACATCTTGTAATTTTTTATTGTAATTAATATTGATTACAAAAAGCCAAATACCAATTGTTTACCATCATGATGAGAATCTTATAATTACCTAGCAAGATCTGCTCCGCATTTTGATTTCAATAATATACATTTATATAAAAGATATATCAATGCAAATTAAAAAAAGGTATCTCTGGTTAGTTATTAACAAGTTTCTTTTTAGAGCCAATCATGCCAAACATCACTGGCTTTTGTCTTTAAAAAATAAATTGTTTTTCCAAAAAAAAAATCAATCGCATTAACAAAAAAAACCTGTGCAACACCAAGTGCCAATAATAAATAATTAATGACGTGTTTGTTGATCAAATAAAATTTTAATTCTTGTTTAACAATGTCAAGATTTAATAGAAAATGACAATGTGATAAAGATGAAAGAAATGGGTATCATAAGAATGGTAGTTATCACCACCACTTGTCACTCTAGTTTTCTTTGAAAATTCACTAGCGTATAGTCCTCACCTCTCTAAATTGGGAATACAATTGAGGTACAATTGAAACCCAGTTTATTTATTGAGAGAACATTCACTGTGTATTGTAAAATTACATTACACAACAAAAAAATTGGTGCAACATTTCAAATGTCCACCAACATGCTTGGTTACAATGAGTTAGTTATTCTGCTAACTAATAATAATTATCTTTTTTTCAAACATTGTAAAATCAGAATATCAAATTCAAGAAGAAAAAAGTAAGTATTACTAAAGAACTATGCAGAAATCATTTAAGCATCAAAATCATTTAATTAATCATTATAGCTTATATTGCTTTTTAACTTATTTAGTACTGATGAAGGATATAGAAGGCCTGCTGTGGTAAGTAAATCATATTCTTGTTGAATATTCCAATTCAATCAACAAGTTCAAGATTTTCATTTTGTGTTTTATTGGAATAAAATTAGAGGAGTTGTGTACTGGCCCTGAAGAGCATATTGGAGGTAATAGGAGAGATAGATGTGAAAAAATTGAATAAGGTGGTGTTGGAAGAGAATGAAACAAGGTGCTCAGATTTAGAAGATGAGTTGGGCAATCTTGAGAGTTTGTTGTTGATAGAGGATCAAAAAGAAGATGAGTCAGAAGATGAGTCAGAGGCCGGGGGTGAGAGTGGATATGATGGAGATGATGAAGAAAGGGAGGATAGTGATGATGAAGACAGTAGGAGTGATAATAATAATGATGTAAGTATTTTAGTTATTTCTGTTTTCTGATTGATTTTTATGCTTTTACTTAAATGGTCTGTTGTAAATAATCACAGAATGATGATGATAATGCATCCCAAAGGAAAAGAAGGAGAATTAGGTGCTTTTATGTGGTCGATTCTGGATGTGAGGCATTGGAAGAAGCATCAAATTGATTTATATATTTTTTTTAAATTATGTATTGATAGTTAATATTTTATATTTTAATAAAAATAAAAATTTAAAGCATATCTTCATTCTGCTTTCTTTTCTTAATTTTAATTATTTTTATTTCCTTAGGGTGTTGGCATATATTAGCTAATATCATTTTAATAGAAGCACTTACTCCCACCCCCAGTTAAGACATTTTGATCACGTGTATGACAATCATTTGCCTTTTTTGGGTATCAACAAAGTACAAGCAAAGAAAGAATTAATTTTATCAATCAAATATTTTAAAAGCAACATTAAAGTAAAAAAATTCCTTTAAATATATTATGATCTCTTGAAATTCCTGGGTATGATTTGCATTGACTATTTCTTGACCAAACAACCTATTTGGTTCTGAGTGTAATAACTAAGGTTTCTGGTCCAAACTGTTTCTCAAAGCCCAAACTAGTTTGGGCAATTTGGGCTTCTCAACATTTTCTATAA